TCATTGGAAGTTACAGCCTGCTAAAAAGCATTTAGGGCAACAGGAAAAAGGCAGGAGCCAGTGACCACTACCCTATATGGACATAGAGGGTAGATACAAGATTTTAGATATTAAAAACTGGACATTGACCACAGTGAAGATGATTTAGATGACCATCAGTGTCTGATGGTTTTTGTTATTTCTGGACATTGGCTTGCTTGACCATTGTGGACTGTTGGTGTATTCATATACTGTTTTTTTTCCTTGCAAAGACATGCAGTCAGCCACCATATGAATGATTTCAGTTTTTGTGAATGAGTGAATACAATGAACGTATTTGGAATATGATATGATCTGTGAATTAACTACTCCACTGAGTGAATTAACAGTCATTACCAGTGAATGGAGATAAACTGACTTGACTTAGTAATCTGACTGCACAGTTTAGGTAATTTATAATCAATGGGTAATTACTGCCTTGATAGATAGGTGGCGTTAAAGGTGGCAGTAAACAGTCATTGGGGAGCTGAAGAGAGGGAGAGCCTTTGAATATCATTCATCTAGAGATTATATCTGCTAAAAAATAAACAGCTGTTAGTAAACAACATTTGGAATGTGCTGTTTAAACTACCTGGTTTAGCAGTCATTGTGGCTATAGTCTGGTTTGACTTGGATATTGGCAGCATACAGACAGTTGGAGTGGAATCTACTGAGAACCTCTGGAACCTGCTGGGCTCCAGTGAACAAAGAACTAGGAAAGCATCTGCGTGTTATTTCTACAGAATACCTGTACTGGCTTGAACAGGGATCTGGTTACATTCCTCTTCTGTGTAGGATTATATTTATTTACTCTCTTTAGCAGTATTTTACATCGTTCTATAGATGTCATAAACAGCTGCATCTGTACTGTGTGTGATAAAAATCTTATTAGACCAAATGTTGCTGTATTTCTGACATTGGAATATTGCCTGATGTAAATCAAGTTGCCAGTTTAGAAGAATCCAATTTGAGATTTAAAAAAAAACCATAATAGAATCTCAAATAGCCCTATAGAAGCAAAGTTCTTGCCAATTTGGCATCCTGAAGACAGATTGAGTTGGACCTTGCTGTAAACACACACACACACACACACACACACACACACACACACACACACACACACACACACACACACACACACACACACACACACACACACACAGGATGGATGAACAAGTTAAACTGGTTCCTACATGTGGGAGTGAAAATATTCTGTGATTTGTCATCAGTCTTTGGATGTCAACTGTCCCTGGTAATTGACATAGATGACATGGCCAAGCAGGTGCTCCTATAGGTGTGTGCCTCCATAACAGCCAACAAATGACATTGCTTACAAGTGGACTAGTGGTGTTGGGCTATGTCACAGGGTCTCATGTCTCCTCTGTCACTTGGTACTGAGATTGATAGAGATTCACCATTTCTGTTGCTTCGAAACAGATAAAAAGAGAGAGACTGTCCACACTGAAAAGGTGTCCATTTGTGAACTATTTCTGGCTGTTTGATTGTGTTTTGATGGTTGTTTGGACATAGTTTATGGATCAAATGTATCAAAGGAAATTAGCAAAGATCAGGCAGATAGTGATATTGCAGCACCCTATAATATATTCCATGTTGTCTCTCTGAGATAGCTACACTTACACTGAGAAAACTACTATTTGACATCAGAAGGATGGAGCAGATGAGAAGACAGGTGTGGAGGAGTAAATTGGCATCTAGATGAAACCATTACAAGCTGTGACTTATGATGCTGTTTTAATGCAGGTACTGATGTAATAATATGTAGTGGTTGCATGATCTGTGATGAAAAGCACGTATTGAATAATCTTGGATTAGAAATTATGAGTAATAAACAGAAGAGATATTATGTGCAGTAACAAGGGGATTGTGATTGTTGCAGTAACAAAGAGACAATCATTGTTGTAAAAACAACGGAACAGTAATTGTTGAACAGCAACAGTGATAATGTGTTGACATCAACACTGTTACAACAGCAGTGAAACGACAACATTGAAGCACTATCAATGTACTCTAAATGGAATAATGACTTCAATAAACAGTGAAATTTTGGAGTAGAAACAAAGTTCAACAAAAGGGAAGTTGGTGTTGCAGTTGAGCGGCAGCTGTTCCAGTGCATTGTGTGTGATAGAAAGTGACATTTAGATAGAGTCTAGTCCAGATTACAATTGGATTCTATCCAGATATTCAACCTGCTACTTTCTCCACTTCTCCCAATTGTTTGCTCGCTGAGAGTAAAGTATAGGCCTGTGTGGGTAGTTGACTGAACCAATGCTGCCATGTTGTGTTAAGTTATCTGTGATGCAAGGATTTATGGAAAGTTGTTCTGATGAATAGAGATGCTGGACTTAACTGGTGTTCTTCACTCTCAGGTGGAACTGTTCCTGACGTAGCTGTTTAGCACAAACTTGGGACCAGAGCTGTTGAAAAAGGCATTTGGATATATTGTTTTTAAGGAATTTAATTTTTTAGTGAGAAAAAAGGTATTTTCTGTTGAGAAAGTTTTTTATAGAAGGGAAAATTGGAAGAATTTCACTGTCTATTTGATGTCTCAGAAACCAGGCCTTGTCTTCTCTTATTTCATAGGATTAATGTGGAGCATGAATCAGCCTGGTAATTGGATATTAATTAGGGCATTCTATTCAATTTTGAGTTCAGGAAGGCGAGACTTAACTTGACTAATTTCATCAGATTGATCCAGATTAATTCTCCTGGTAATGGAGAAGTAATAAAGAGGTTACTCCAGGAAATAAGTGAAGACCTTCACCATGGGGAATAGAAAGGAGCTGTTTGTAGAACACTTGACTTCACTATCTACACCTGCAGTATTGGACATCACACAGTGAAAACTGACAAATACAACTGTGGATACGGCCAATTTTCCTCAGTTCTTTCAACATGACTCATGGATGAGGATATTATTGGACCTAAAAAAAATCTGTAACAGATTCACATTTGTCCCTGTGTCTTCTAGGATTTCAAACCAAAACAACACTGGATAGCCATATGTGCTAGTAAGGATAGATTTCATTGCCATAGCAACTGGCTAAAGATGTTGTTACCATAGTGACTGGCAAATGATATTGTTGCCATGGTGACTGTGATGCAGATGTAGATAATATTGAAATCCTTGAAAGAAAAGGAGACATTTGTAACATGTAATTGCTGTGTAATGCTATCTGTAAAATATCATCGTTGACAAGAATTCGGGATAGCATCAACTGAGATGTATGTCACATGACTGACGAACTGACTGACTTACAATTCGGGGAGGGACGTGTTATGTGACAGTAAGACATTGAGATATATATATGACAGTCACATGGTTTGCTGAGAGTTCAGATTAAGTTGACATATGTAACTGTATGTGATATGAATGTTCTGTGTCTGGTGTGAGCTTGTTAACATGTGTCATCCACCCACCCACCTGGCTGCGGGGAACTGGACATGATGACTGGACATTAACAAATGGATGTTAACAAATGGACATTACCAAGTGGATGTTAAAAAGTTAATGTTGACAACTGCACGTACAACTAGATATTGAAATGGATATACAACTGGACAAGTGAACTAAAATTATTAAGTATACTAGGGTACATAAACCAGGGGACGTACATATCAAAGAGTATTTGTGAGTCGTGCCTCTCCTACACAGCTGATGTGTCATGTGATCCATTGTATCATTTGTTGATCTCCTCAGCGAAGTTACATAGGTCTTGGTTACGCATGTTAAAATGTTTGATGCTGTTAAATAGGTTTCAATGTAGATGACTTGGACTCAGGATTAAAATTCTCTGTTCTGCTGAAAAGAGTTATTTTAGGATAAACAGGTGGAATATTACAATATTACTGCCACTTGATACTAAAATGGTCTTGGGAGCAATAAAAAACAGCAGATTGACACGTGGAGGTGTTGGACCATACACAGTGTGTTTACTTTGATGGACATTAAGACGTCTTTGAAGTGATTTCATAACACACCGCGCCTTGTTTTATTCCACAGCTAGAGTGTTGAATTGTTCCAGCACCTGCTCAGAGTTGATGGGTAGTCTGGAGACCATGGCAGTGATTGTGAACAGTTATGTAAGTATGGTAATAGATGGCAGGGCAGGTGCCCTCTGGTACCCTGAGAGTCATGGCTTGGACTGTGACATTGATAACTCATTAAGTCACCTAACACTGGGAACACTTGCTTTATGTGTATTATACAAATTTTTTTTTTTCATTAACGAAAGAAGTAAGTTGTCATAATCTTTTATATATATATATATATATATATATATATATATATATATATATATATATATATATATATATATATATATATATATATATATAATAAAAGATCCTTAGTATTAATGTAACATGTTCTGATGAAGTCTGCAGGGGGAGGCTTAGGGCTGCTGTTACTCTGATATGATGAAGGATAATGAAGGGTGTTTTACCCAGAATAACTTCTATAAATCAACTTAAGTTTAGGCTTTTTAAAAAGACGTAAATAGTGATTTGCAGCTCTTACAAAATACTTCAGAAATATCTTTGTACATTAGAACCTGTGAAGTCACAAGGTGGCTGAGGTTAGTAGAGGGTGATAACAAGTTGTAATTAGTTTTAATGAAACAACTGCTGTGACTAGTTATGTTCTTTTAAGTCTGGAAAGAACTACATGCAAATATGTGCTCATGTGTGATTGCATGTGTGTGTAAACGTGCATGCTGGATGGAGCCGTCTCTGTGTGTTTCACATGTTTAGATGTTGGCCATTGGCGGTTATTTTATATTATACTTTTTAAGGAAGGGTGTTTTTTTCTCATTGACTGAATTTTCTGCAGCGTTTTCACAGTTAAATTTTATATTTTGGAAATCTCATTTCAGGGCAAGTATTCTCCTGTTTTTAAATTTAATCGAGTTTAGAATTACTATCAAATTTTTTATTAAAAAGATTTTTTTTTTTTCATATTTCAGGTGGGCATCATCCCCATCTATGACAGTTTAGACAGAGCTGGCATCAGAGAACTCTCAGGGAGCGTCAAAGTGAAAGCCATGACAAAGTAAGTGTCAAAGTGAAAGCCATGACAAAGTAAATGTCAAAGTGAAAGCCATGACAAAGTAAGCTGCTGTTCAACTGAGCATAGACTGCTTAAATGAAATAGCTGACTCAGTAAAGTGGACTTTGTTATACTAGTGGTAGAGGAGTGATGGTTCCCCAGTAATTGTAGTTGGCGTTATGTAATGGACCATTGTCTTCACTTAAATCATTGTCAAGACAATCACAATTTCCTTTAGTTAAAAGGCTGTAAAAAAATGAAGCAAACTTTTTTTCAGATTCTGTGTCAAGTTCAACTCAGTCGATTAACAGCTATTTTTGCTTGTTCTGATTTTCATTTTGAAACAATTAACATTTTAAAGCGTCTCTCAGACTCATATTTTACATTTTCCATTACTAAATTAGAAGGTTAAGTGCACAATAATAGAAAAAAAACCTGCTGTTGCTACTACAGAAATGATTACATGTATTTTTGTTGTATTCCACTCTTTTTTTGTACCAATTTCAGAAAAGTTCATGATTTGAGCTCCAGGTTTCCTAAAATAGACGACTGTGCTCACTTCCATTATGATTTTATAGAGCTCGGACCTCTTCAGGTATTATCAAAGATTGCCAAAACTGATCGAAATATTTATAAAATTCATGAGTAATAATTGAAGCAATGGAATAACTCACACTTAAATACTTGTAAAGACATGCAGAGTATCAGTTAAGTGTATGACATATTTCAGTAATTTGTTATGTGTCACAGTCAGTGCTTAAAACTGTTCTCGTAAATTATGGCACTTCTGGTCCGTATAATGTTTCATTTGGTTTAGGTTACTTTCTGATTTATGGTGTGATGTTATTTCCTCTCACTAGGTGTCACTACTTCCTGGTCACCGCGATAGTTACAAACACAATGAGGACGGCACTATGACACCTCTCTACTTTATTAAAGTCTCTTCTAATGAGAAAATGTGGACTTTAAAAAGAACTTTTGAAAATTTCCGCCTGTTAGACAAGCAGCTGCACAAATGTATATATGATCGCAAGTTCAGCAAGCTGCCAGAGCTCCGTAAGGAAGACGGAGATGAGGAAAATTTAGAGGTGAGCAATCTCTCTCTCTCTCTCTCTCTCTCTCTCTCTCTCACACACACACACGCACACACACACATTTTTGTAAGTGAATTATCATATCACAGCAATAATACAGTTTCTTTTGTACCAGATTAGTAGAGCAAAAACATCATTTCAGATTATGTGATATGTATATATCAGCTGCCATACCTAAGGATGGCATGTTAAACACAAATATGTTTCCAGTCTGTTCAGAAATGATGGTCATTGCCCTATTGCCACCAGCCAGTCATTAGCTTATCACTGGTCATTTAAGTGGACTGGTCAATATTCCTCCCTCAGGATGGTACTGCCATTAAGTGTGCTTTCTGTTGTGATGGGATTAATACTGAGTGGTCAATAGGAGGATGACCAACTAGCCTTGTGAACAACTCACTGGTTTAACACTGCATCAGTTGGTAGAAGGATTTTTTTTTTTTTTTTTTTTGAATGATTCATTATGAAAAGTGTATGTATGTTTGTGTGTGTGTCTGCTATTTGGTTTTATTTATTTTTTTATTATATATATATATTTTTTTATATTCTGCCCTTAGTCACTTTCTCATTGCACTATGTGATGTGGATGACCACCATATCTGTTCTTATTCTTGAGGTCAGTTTAGAGCACTGGTCAGTACCAATGAACACTATTGTGCTATTGGTCAAATGGGAGAATAAGGAAGTGCAGGTCTGCTGATAAACACTCTCTTGTGAACAGTGAAGCATGGGCAGGAATCTTTCTGGTCAAATAATGGTCTGTTACCAGATCTCTTAATGTTAGATCATGCCTAGCTTTTTACCCAACTTCCATCAAAATTGCCTTAGGGTTGAAGTGTTTTTTCGTTTGGTAAATATTGATAACCTCATCCAATTGTCTGCCTATCATGTAAATCACGTGCAGATCTGTTTTATAGCATATCTGCATGTGCATATCCAGCTGTGGGCACACGCATTCCTGTTTTAACATGGGACATTTGAACTCTTTCCCTCTCTATCTGGCAGTATACTGGGGTCAAAAACCAGGAAATCAATGTATTAAGTCAACATGTCTGGGGAGAAAACAAACACCAGAGCAGCATCCGTGTGAAATAACAGGGAAGATTTCCCAGCAGAGGGCGCCAGGAAGCGTAAATAATGCCATCTGTGCGCGACCCTTGTTTGTAATAAGAGAGAATCAATACTTTAAACCGCATTTGAATGCTGGGTGAATGTGAAATGTGAGGAAGTGAAAATGTCAGAAAATAATGGGAAAGAGATGGAAAATACTTTGCAGAAATTGGGGTAAGCATTTTTTCTGCTGTAGTTGTTAGAATACAGCACACATTTTCTTATTTCCTTAAAGTTTGCAAAATTTCATATCTATCCAGAGGATGAGTAAAGACTGGTAGAATGTTTCTGTATATATGTATGTGTGCATACGTGCATGCATGCACATGTTTCAGCAAAGATATGTTTTAAAACTTTATCGTTTTATGTAGGCACACACAAGGTAAAATCGTAAAATTTGTGTTCCTATAACTATATTTGTGTACTAGAACGTGCATTTGTAGTTGTTAAATGGAAAAATTATTTCAAGCAGTTGTGGATGTGGTAATACTGTGATGAGGGGCAGTTGTGTACCGTGTGTTATGACAAAGTGCTTGAAAGAAGTGAGGTTGGTCAACACTGTGCAATTGTTATTTTGCTCAGATTAATTGCTGTCAGTTTTTCCTAAAAGTTAGTATTTTATTTTATTTTATTTTATTTAAATTTAATTTTTTATTTCAATGGTTGTGTATTGTAATTGACCCTTTCCTACATGTACCATGGCAGACATGATTTCCATGTTTATTACTGTCATTTTAGTTGCTAAATTTTGGGAAGAAAGATAATAACTTTGTAATGATGTTAAATGAAGGATCTCTCCACATACAGTAATCAACCAGCACAAAAATCAATACTTTGCTAGAAACAGGAACAATAACTGCAAGTAAAATGTATACATTCTGCAGAAAACTATTCTATTACTGACATCTGATTACAGTTCATCTGGTACATTCCTGGAGGTTGTCTTCTTAGAAAATTGTACAAGTTGGATTGTATTTATTCTTTAGAAAGATGGCATAGGGATTTTTAGTCAGTGTTCTCATGGCTAACTGAGGCCAATAGTCTTCCATCCCAACTCACACATATTGACAGAGAAGGGGACATCTTTTAGCCTGGTTTGGTTTTACTGACTGGTTAAGTTCAAAAGTCATACTTTTGATTTAAGTTGACTTAGTGTCATTGCACAAATAATTATGAAGATGACTTACTTACTAATGACCAGATTTTATAAAGTACATACAGGATTACCAGATATTGACTGGTCCTGGTCTATGCAATAGAAATAGAAGGCTAGCACAGGGTTCTACTTGTGATAGTTCTAGACCATGTGGATATATTATGAAAGACTGGTAATGGTTCCTAGTACATAGGATTGGGGTCTCAATTAATGTTAAATATTAAAGTATACTTATAATACTTTTATGATGCAATTCAGAATTAACCTCCAGTAGAGAAATTGTGAATCCAGATATCTAGCCTGGGTGTATTCATATGTGTATATTTTATACAGATATGTTAGTTAGTCTGGTTTCTCCACAGTGAAATACATATAGGGTAAGTAGATATGGCCAGTTGGTATTCACTGGTATATACTAGAAGGCAGTGCAGAGGTTCTTGGAGTGATGTATTGTGTTGACAAGTCGTAAGAACTTGTTTTTGAAGATGGTAAATATTGGTGCTGTTCTCCAGAACTTCTCCTTGCTGGACATTGTCCAGACAGCCATGGGTAGCGCACTGAAGCCCCAATTCTTAGCTGAAAATTATGTTATGTATGTATTTCAATTTCACTTTAAAGCAATCCAATAATTTCTTCTTTTGCCAACTTTTATTTTCAGAAAATAATATTTTTCAGTGAGATAATTTTTGCTGATCATTTTATTTGCAGGGCATTCCAGAGAAGCTAGCTGCCTACCTGAACAAATTCAGTGAGATAGCAGGCAACATGATCAGCTGTGGACCAATACTGAACTGGCTGGAGGTGAGAGAGAGAGAGAATAGGGGGATAAAGAGAGAGAGAGAGAGAGAGTAGGGGGATAAAGAGAGAAAGAGAGAGAGAGAGGAGGAGGAGGATGGTGAGAGAGAGAGAGGAAGGAAGGAAGGGAGAGATGTGAAAGAAAGGGTGGGAGGAGGAGAGAAAGTGAGAGAGAGATTTGATCAATCTATTTGTGTTTTAGACAAGTGGATTTATCTCTTATAATGAAGCTACCTAATATAGTTGCCTGTTGATTCATATTCAGAAAATGTTTGAACTAGGTACAACATGACCGTGTATTGATCAGAGGACAATAATTAAATCTTCCTATGTATTTATTCATTGATTTATGACAAGCAGTGGAGATGAGTCTAGACTTGGAATTGATCAAGAGTCACAGTAATTTAGAGTCAAAGCAGCAGCCATGGTTTTCTCTGGTGACTGTGATCAGCACCCTATAATAGCATTAGGCTACCACTTGGAATGTTTGTTCACATATATGTGGTATCAGGGTATTGATGGATGGCTGCTGTTTGTTATTCTATTTTCGGCATTCCTCTGCAAATAATAGGCAAGAAAATTACAAATTTATATTTTGAGCAGCTTGGCTAATCTTTTAATTTCCATGTGAACATTTCACAGCTTTCTAGGAGATGGCTGGAAATAAAGCTATAAAGAAATTGTATTGCCAGTTTTGATATGCAATGGTCATTACATTTTGATGTTTGTTTATAGATGGATAACCATGGCAACCGTCTGTTAATAACCTCCAGTGATGACAGTGACATCAATATCCCAGCCATCGCGGCGGCACACGTAGTGAAGTCACACAACGCCCAGGCCACGGACGAACTCTCTCTCAAAGTAAGTCCTAGGGTTTGAAATTTATGTAAACTGAAGTCACAGTCACAAGTGTAAATGATGTGCATTTGACTCAGTTGCAAACAGGGGACTACATTGCTATTGTGCATTCACTAAAATTTAGCAAAAAATCTATAGATATCATCTTTAGACATTATAGTTCTGATTCTGGACAGTCATTTTCTGAAGTCTGCTGGTTTGAGGGACCAATCTGCCCTCACATAGAAGGCACAAGACTACCAAACATAACATTTTGTACAACATACTGATTGTTGATTTTAATGAGTTCAACAAGTTATATTACTATCCAGTTCCCATCTTTGTGTCACTATCTCCCTATATTATTATCTGTACTGTTATACCAGTATTATGGCAGTGATTCCTGTGTTTCTGTGTCTTTCAGGTTGGTGACTTTGTATCTGTGATAGACATGCCTCCAGTAGAGGACACAGTATGGTGGAGAGGAAAGAAGGCTTCATTTGAGGTAGGGAACACCACACTGTGAGAGCTGTGGTATCATAGGCCCCATTCAGAATAGGGGACTAACTAGTCTGAGGGTCAAATATGGCCAAACCACTTGAAAACTTCACGGGATATTTCTATTCAGTGTCTATTAGCATATTAGACGGCAAGATTTGTAGTTGGTTGCTATATTTGACCCTCGGACTAGTTAGTCTCTTATTCTGAATTGGGCTATACTGTGTGCAAATATACTTCAATACCTTCTAACACACAAAGTTGGCTGATGTTTTCTTCCTGATTTAGTATGTACTGTATTTGTGAACTATTTCAGGTTGGTTTCTTCCCAGCAGAGTGTGTAGAAATCATTGGCTCTGACAACAAGATGCCACAAACAGTGGAGGCTAAGCTAGCAGAAGCACAAAAACCAGGTAAGAATTGATTTTAATGGCACTGCTTTCAGCATCAAAAAGATATGAATGTGCATATATGAATAGTGCTATTAAGAAGGATGAAATGTTAAGATCTTTTCATGATAAAAAATTTCCTGGAAAAATCAGTAGTTTTCCAATTATCACTAAGGAATACCCTATTCAAAAAATTCTTTTTCAAGTATTCTTATTTAACTTGAATTATGATGAGTTTGTTTTGTGTTTCCCAGTTTTACAGCGCCGAGGCAAGGTGATATCATTCCTGTCCCGTTTCTTCACGCATCGTCCCACCAGGAACGCCCTGAAGCAGACGGGAATCGTGAAGGAGAGAGTGTTTGGTTGTGATCTTGGTGAACATCTGCTCAATTCAGGACTAGAAGGTAGGGGAGGACTGAAACCAAAAATATACACAACATAATATATTTCTAGTGCTGCAGTGTCTGTCAGTAGATAATCACTACAATTATGACAACCTCGTGTCCTCTTCGTAAGGACTTTCCCCCTTCATACAGTAACAGTCATGGTATCACCTGAAACCAGATTTTGTCAGTCCATAAATAGATTCTTTAAATGTTGTTTAGATTTTAACTTAACTCTTCATTAATGTTTTCTTGAAGTTGGTATATTCAGGGATTGTCTATTGACATAGTGGCTTAGATTTCTATATTCTTCTTGTTGACATGAATATGCTAGATTTGAGAAAAAATAGTGACTTAATTGCATAAAGATCCTTTAAAAATTCACAAGACCCTTCCTGTCGGGATGTGACAACTGAATGACATGTTTTTATTCTCCAGTGCCACAGGTGCTCCAAATTTGCAGCGAAGTAATAGAGAAACATGGTATTGTAGATGGTATATACAGACTGTCTGGAGTGGCATCGAATATACAGAAACTCAGGTATGCTGTGTAAATAACAAAACAAAAACTGTAGTGAAAATAAAATTACAGAAAGAGATCGGGGAACAAGGTTAACTGATGAAATGAAAATTAAATAGGACAACAACTACAAAGAAAATTGATCTTTTTCAAGTGAAATATTTTTGTCTTGTACCTCCAGGCTAGCGTTTGATGAAGGGACAGCTCCTGACCTGAAGATAGAGACCCAGAAAGACATCCACAGTATCAGCTCCTTACTGAAGATGTACTTCAGAGAGTTACCCAACCCTCTCCTCACCTATCAACTCTACTCTAAGTTTGTGGTAGGTGGAGCCACTGTCTGATGTAGATAGATTGTGAGAAATGTAGAAAAGAAAAGAGTATAAATGGAAATGAAACTGGCTTGTAGAGGTTCAGTAAATGAATAACCAAGTCCTTTATTTGGAAGACTTGGTGAAATTTTGAATTGGATTTGATACTAATTTCATGGTTCGCAGAATGAGGTTTATTATGTTCATGTTTTATTGTAAAGCTGTTGCAGTAGTAGAAAGTATTTTACATTGTTTGCTATAAGAAGTGTATATGAACACATGCATACCTGCTTGTGTCTCTGTGTAAAAATGTATCAGAAAGGAATTGAGGATATCCCTGGTTGTATTAGTAGAACATGTTCTTCCCACTTCAGTCTGCAGTCCATGTGTCTAATGAAGATGAGAAGTGGCAGGGAGTGAGATCCACACTACAGCAGCTCCCTCCTCCACACTACAGGTAATATATATATACTACAGCAGCTACCACCTCCACACTACAGGTAATATATATATATATACTACAGCAGCTACCACCTCCACACTACAGGTAATATATATATATATATACTACAGCAGCTACCACCTCCACACTACAGGTAATGCACTCAGGGCCGTAGCCTCCGGGGGGGCAGGGGGGGCAGCTGCCCCCCCTGGGATTTGAGGTGCAAAAAAAAAAATAATAATAAT